AAACCATGGGTTTCAGACTGGAGAGTGAAGACCTGGAAGAGGAACAGCATAAGCAAATGAGCTGGCTAGCTTTTTGATGGCGTTTGAGAAGTTTCTGAGTGGCTCTGTAAAGCTGACAGAGGACCAAGCTCAAAAGGTTTGGGAGTGCCTCTGGGATGAGGCTAATGCCATCCCTGATGTTTGCCATCAGACATTACCATTCCCTCACCAGCCAGCCCAGACAGATGAGACACGACTGGGTTCGCACAACCTCACACTTCAGCTGCATGAATTGTTTGTTCCTCCGCACTGGACTCTGTCGTATGCCATGCCTATCACTGCATCAATGGAAAATGCAAGAAATCCCTCATAAAGTAGAGTTTCCACCTCCTGTCTTCCCAACAAACGTCTTTTCCTAACTCAGTGCTCTCCTTTGCAGGGATTTAGATTCAAGAAGTGTTCTGCTTGAAGTTTTGCAAGGGTTTGGCAAACACAAAAGCCAAGAGGTGCTGGCTGTTTTCAAATAGCACTTGGAATGAGCTATGATCAAAACCAAATTCCCTCCTCTTCAGTGCAATTTCTGTCCCTCTATCTGTGAGCTCCCAGTCTCCCTAGCACGCATTTATAAAAGAGCCCTAGTGAGAGGATGGTCGGGGCAAGCATTTGCCTTTTAGCAAAGCCTTGCAGTGCTTCCGCACAAGAAACAAGAGCTTATGGGGACGGAAAGCAGTTGCTGTGTTTGTGTTGACTGGCCATGGTTTTTGGCTGCTGGGGGTTTCCAAAGCAAATTAAATGTTAATCATCAAAGTGGACTCCCTCCCCTACTTTCAGTTGTTGAAAATACTACAAAGTAAGATGGAAAGAAACATGTAATCCTTCATCATCACAGTGAGGATTTACTTGTTTATTTAGATTCCCTGTCTGTTCCAAATGTTCTGCCAGAGAAAGCCCATCCAGGCTCCAGGAGTGCTTGACACACATAAAAAAAAATGTAGATGTATATAGGAGATAAATCCAGCACAAGACACTGCCTTTCCTCGCAGCACACCAGTGCAGCAATCAGCTGAAAGTCCCATTTGCACGATAAAATATCTCAGGATGCTTTTTGTAGGAAAAAAAAGTAAGGAGGGACATCACCCTGTGCAGAAATATGTTTCCGTGGTGGCTTCTCTAGACCAGAAACTTTATGGTGGGGCTGTCCTTGAGCCCCAGGCACCTCCTCTTTTTCTGCTTGGAAAATGTTGCCCAGGCAGAAAATGAGGAACTTGATGCCTTTGTAGTCAGTGAAACAAGAGACTTGTGTTCAGAGGGTGATTCCTCCCACTGCCCTAGGAGGTGGAGATCACCCTCTTGAAGGGTGTCTTTCCCTGCAGACATTACAGGGGAAACCGAAAGAGAGGAGCCCAGATGTGTGGGTCACTTTTAGCTGCTTAAGAGAAGGCAGCTGAATCCCGTCCCATGTAACACCGTGCGTCAGGAGCACAACTCTTTTGCACTGAAACCAGTCAGCAGCCTTTGTAGCTGGTGTTTCTCATCCTATTCCTATTGCTGCACCTACGAACAGGAAGCAAGTCAGAAATAGGAGACTGTAGACATGGCAATCACATACAGCTGAGATGAGGTAGACCTCTGGGTCATCCTAGGCTGAGGTAGTAGAGGAATAACAATTGTCCAACAAATGTTTTGCATTTGGACCATCATCCAATCCAGGGGAATTGAAAATGCCCTGTGAGCTGCTCTTCTAGTGATGCCTTGGGTGCAGCACCTCTGAAGCTGGCTCCTTTTTTTTTTGCCTATCTAAGAGCCACAGGCGTGAGTGGACACCAAGAGCTTGGTGTCCCTGCTGGGGACAATATTGCAGTAAGTTGGTAGTGAGTAGAATGGGAGGGGCAGTTTTCAGCCAATGACCGCCCAAAAAAATCACTTCTATTAAAGTTATAGGATCTTGAATGCTCCTAGAAACTGCTGGGATTTTACCCTTTAGGGTTTCATCTGAAAGAAATCCATATAATGAAATATTTAAGACAACTCAGTTCTTGAAAAGGCAAAACCAACCAGTTCTGTGTTTTGCAGGTGCTGTCCTTATTTCACATAGAATCATAGAATCATAAAGGTTGGAAAAGACCTCTAAGATCATCGAGTCCAACCATCAACCCAGCACCACCATGCCCACTAAACCATGTCCCTAAGCGCCTCATCTACACGTCTTTTAAATACCTCCAGGGATGGGGACTCAA